GATCAACAAAAGCAAAGCCATATACACACATTAGCCTCTGTGTAGTTAAGTTAATTGTTAAATGCACATTATTAAAATATTTTGGAAGCATGGTTTACAACAGCGGTAAGCACCTGATTTTGGAATGATTTTTTGTACTCTTTGTTGCCACCTTATAGATTTTCCTGTTTCAGCTATTGCGAGGTCTAGCTTATTGCCATCGGCAGAAAGTTTTGCATAGAGATCTAAAACCTCAGAACCTTCTCATCAGTGACCGGGGAGAGCTCAAACTTGCTGACTTCGGTAGGCCCAATCGCTCACATACCCAAAGACTTATCTCTTAATTAACAGAGAACACATTCACAAAGAGTTTAATGGTTTGTTTTGTCTACTGTAGGTCTTGCACGTGCAAAGTCAGTGCCCACAAAGACATTCTCGAATGAAGTGGTCACTCTCTGGTACAGACCTCCTGATGTGCTGCTGGGGTCAACAGATTACTCCACCTCTCTTGACATCTGGTGAGATGCACATACACACTTACACGTTCAGGCCATCTCATAAACACTAGTCAAATGATGAACGTTTGTAGGAAACTTCATACCTTATTTTCAAGTTTGGATAAACTACCGTAATGTATTATTTACATGGTAGTTAATTAGCTCGAGGGAAATCTGAATAAATAACTTATTATCAATTATAAATAATTAGATCAGCTGCCAGAAATAATTACAAAACAGTACAAATACACATAATGTCCCAGGGATATGCACGTTTATTCGTAGAAAGACTTGTGTCTATGAATTTAATGGCGAGTAATGGTTTGCTTGTTGGGTGAGGAGTGTTATGGATTATTTGTTAAATATAACAAATAATAATGTGTCTGATTGGTCCAGCCGTTACAATATATAATGCATTTCCAGTGCATTTCTAGTGATCATCGTGAAAATGATGGATTTAAAAGCCAGTGAGCTAATATCAGCATGCAGTGTATATTACTGTATTATATATATACTGATCACAATGATTATATTCAAAGGTCACACAAATATAGTTTGAGTGACGAATGGAGCTCAGTTCAGGCAGATCACGACGTGACAGCCAGCATCAGCTGATGCGCAGCTGATTGTAATTTGTGATTTCCCACTACAATTAAATAAGATATATAAGTTCATCCATACTCACACTTCCATTAGTCTGTCGCAAAGACATGCGCTTAGTCAGCTTCGGTTCTGTCATACAGAAACGTGCTAAAAGAGCTCGAGTTCCGTCATGCATTAAATCAGCTTTCAGTTTCATTGAACAGAAAATGCGTTAAAACAGCCTTGGGTTCTAGCTGTCGCACAAAACACGTTGTCAGCTTTTGTTTTCCGTTGCACAGAAACGCGCTAGTCTGTCTCACAGACAAACGTTAATTCAGCCTTCAGTTATGTTGCACAAACACATGTTAGTCAGCTTTCAGTTCTGACGGACAGACGCATTAAGACAGCTTTCAGTCACTAGTCTGTCACGCAGACACGTGTTAAGTCAGCTTTCAGTCTGTCCACAGTTCGGTGGCAGACGCTGCTCTCCCTGATTGATCTTAGAATTGAACATACTACGTCACTGTGTTTGTTTGTGGACAGCTCAGAATCTGAACCCTTCAGAGCAAAGCCTGCCGCCAAAATAATGTTCAGGACCTCTACAGTAATCTTAATCAAACAAAGTGGTCCTCACTGAAATACATTAAACCAGTTGTTCTCAGACTTTTCAGACAAAGCACCTTGTCCAAGTCACTGCCATACAAAAGCCATAGAAAGTCCTCATGATCACGGTAACCAATATAGATTTATTAGTATTTTGATCACAACATACTTCTAGAGAGACAGCTATAACAGGCACTGTTTTTATGTTTTTAAACTTGGTTTATAAAATGTGCAGTTTTTTTGGCACCAAACCAAATAATTTTCCATGCCCATTTTCACTCTCTCTAAAACAAACAAACAAACAAAAAAAAACATTAAATTTCAAGGGACATTACTTCTCGCAGAAATAACTTCATAACACCATATCCACACTATCCTTACAGCATGTTGTGTGTTTTCATACTCGAGATGGCAAGCGCTGTGATAGAGCCGTATATGTTTGAGCCCAAGAAAGAAGCAATTGAAACAATGCAATGTGATAAGGGCCATGTTGAGGAGATTCTCCTGATTTCAAATCCAGGCATTTCAGAAGGGTAGAAAAGAATAATTCATATTTTAAACTGTGTAGTTAGATTTTGAGTTCTGAAACTTGTAGTATGTTGTTATTGTAGAGTAGTCTCTTATGTGTAAATATATAGGACATTTTGATTCTCCATTTTATGACCCCTTTAATAAAAACAAAGAAAAACATGTTATCGATAGCTGTAAAGTAAGTGAATTAGGCAATCTTCCTTAAACGAAGGTTTGCAAAAATGAGTACACTCTTAATTCAATTCAACAAACATTTTCCTCCATAACTTTAGGTATACTATTCTGACCCTTCACAAGTTCACAACAAATTAACACATCTATCCTGATTAACTCCTTAAATAGCCTGATCTTTAATGGGAGTGTTGCTCAAGTCAAGACAGGTGCTCAAGTGTGTTAGGGTCGGGTGAAATATTTGTCCACAAAAGCTTTTACACTTTGGGAGAATGTGGCCCAACAATGCAGGGAATGAGGAGAAGGTAGCACCTTCTATTTCAACATTTTGTATTAAATGTGTGAATTTATGACATCCTTGACTAAAGCACAATTCCCTCACACCTTCAGCATTCACACTGAACTTCACTGTGGCAGCCAAGCACTTCTCGCTGTACTTCTCCTCAAGCAACCCCATAGCATTTTACATGCTGTTATATCCAAAAAGATTTACTTGGTCTAATGAGACTAGAGTATCATTATGAGCCTTGGAAAAGGCTACAGTAACTGCAGTTTTGTTCTTTGGCCACATAAGTACGTCTTGTGTGGACAGCAACCATGCATTTCACTACTGCAGGTTACGTCTTACTGTAAGATGAAATTCCCACACCTTTCATAGCTTTTCCTAAATTAGGCAATCTTCCTTAAACGAAGGTTTGCAAAAATGAGTACACTCTTAATTCAATTCAACAAACATTTTCCTCCATAACTTTAGGTATACTATTCTGACCCTTCACAAGTTCACAACAAATTAACACATCTATCCTGATTAACTCCTTAAATAGCCTGATCTTTAATGGGAGTGTTGCTCAAGTCAAGACAGGTGCTCAAGTGTGTTAGGGTCGGGTGAAATATTTGTCCACAAAAGCTTTTACACTTTGGGAGAATGTGGCCCAACAATGCAGGGAATGAGGAGAAGGTAGCACCTTCTATTTCAACATTTTGTATTAAATGTGTGAATTTATGACATCCTTGACTAAAGCACAATTCCCTCACACCTTCAGCATTCACACTGAACTTCACTGTGGCAGCCAAGCACTTCTCGCTGTACTTCTCCTCAAGCAACCCCATAGCATTTTACATGCTGTTATATCCAAAAAGATTTACTTGGTCTAATGAGACTAGAGTATCATTATGAGCCTTGGAAAAGGCTACAGTAACTGCAGTTTTGTTCTTTGGCCACATAAGTACGTCTTGTGTGGACAGCAACCATGCATTTCACTACTGCAGGTTACGTCTTACTGTAAGATGAAATTCCCACACCTTTCATAGCTTTTCCAGCTCTGAGACTCATCACAAAACAATGTAGTCTTGGTTATTTCAGGAACCTCGTAACAAGGCCATTTTTGTATTACTTTTGCCACGATTTTCACACTCAAAACAATCATTTGGTATTCTTATGTTGCCCTACATTGTACAAAGAAATAAGTCTCCCAACAGTTCCCTCTCACGTGATTCCATTGTTAGAATTAATCTGAGAATTACTTAATAGTGTTCACTTTTAATCGTCAGGCAGTTACTCCTATTTAAATAGTTTGGTTCAACATACTCGGCTGTTAATCTAAACTTGGACTTTAAATTCAGCTTTACTGTTGGGATGGTATTGTGCAGGTGATGAGCAGTGCCTGGTTTCCTCCAGACAGTATATGACACTTAGAACTGAGGTTCATCAGACCAGATAATCTTGTTTCGCAGTCTGAGAGTCAGGGGGATATCCTGGCTGTGTTGAATGGCTGGCGGTCTGTTTGATGGTGACATCTCTGGGAAACCACCCGGGTGGTGAATGAAGTGAGGAAGTTGCCAGATGAAGCCTTGTGTGCCGGTTGCTGAGTTATGTGCTGATGCACAGCAAAGTGCTTCACAGTGTCTTGAAGACTTGTTGGAGACAAAGACTTGGCAGAGTCAATCTTCAGCTAAGTTTAATGAAATATCAGATAGAACAGGGACTTGAAGGTCACAACTTTTTTTTTTTGGCAAGAGTGCAAACTGATTGAGCAGCAGTTTTTGTAGTCACCCCTAGATCTGTTCCTCAACACAATCCTGTCTCTGAGCTCTGCAGGCAGTTCCTTTGACCTCATGGCTTGGTTTTTGCTCTGAGGTTGCCACAGATTTGCTAATTTTTTTCTATTATAAGTATTCTACTATTTGAATAGTGAAGTAGGTACTGTACCATCATGCCATGTGCACAGTAACTGCCAAGAACTTCCGGCAAAGTGGGACACCAACAGACCACACACATAACAAACTAACAAAGGTACTGTAGTCTAGGGGTTCCCAATCCTCTTCCTGGAGATCTACCTTCCTACAAAGTTCAACTCCAACCTCCAGGAACAGGATTGGGCATCCCTGCTTTAGACAAATGTTCTCAGCCCATTCTGTTGGCTAGGCCGGATTTACTATATGAGCATTTGCCCTTCTCCTGGATAGTTACCTTCCTCCAGAGTCAAACTTCAGTTTCAACCCTGCCTCATCACACCTGCCTGTAAATGTCAAGTAACCCTGAACACCTTGATTGGCTGGTTCGGGAGTGTTTGATTGAAGGTGCAGGGTTGGAGACCCCCGAGAAAACCCAAAATTCTGTGCATGAGTGTTGCATGTAAATTAAGCCTACTAGGAAAGAATTTTGTTCAGGTGTGCCAGACTGAATGTAACTCTGATGAATATTTAAGCTCTTCAGCTCATTCCTTGCCACAAAGAGTTTTGCTGGCATTGGTTAATCTGGAGAACATCTCTGCTCTTCTGAAAATCAAAGACCCTGCCCACTCCTTTTTCGGCCTGGATTGTGCCTTTTATACATTTCTTAAAACGACACTTCATTCTTTCTTTCTCTCTGCTTTGTTTTTATTGATATAGGGGTGTAGGTTGTATATTCTACGAAATGATCACAGGACGTCCCCTGTTCCCTGGCTCGACAGTGAAGGATGAACTTCATCTTATATTTCGTATACTGGGTAAGAGCTCTGACGTTATGCACTTAATACGCTTTTAGTTTTTAGCTCATTTGTCCCAATGGTTTAGATGGAAAGAGTTTGCTTTCTAACTGTTACTGATTCACAGCAAAACTGTTTGATTATGTTTTTGATTTGTTCCTGTTTTATTTATGTTTTTACAGTCTATTACTACATACATCCACAATAAGTTTTTTTTTTTTTTAATTTAACCTGATTGTTCATTGTTGGCTTTTCATGTTACAAACAGTTTTTCCATGTTTGCATATTATAAGCCAATTTGGACTTTTCAAAAAGTGGACCTACTTTAGATGTCTTTAACAAATATCATTGATAAAACCCCCTATTCAAAACACTCTGCCAAATGGGTAAGCAACATAGAAACCAGAATGCAGTTATTTTTCAGTATTTAGTACAGGGGTGTCCAGACCTGTCTCTGGAGGGACACTGTTCTGCAGAATTTAGCTCCAACCCTTATTAAATGATGCACCTGAACCAGCTAATCAAGCTCTTCAGACTCGCTAGAGACATCCAGGAAAGTGTGTTGAAATCGGTTGACGCTACACTATGAAAGACATTGGCTCTCCAGGAGCAGGACACCCCTGATTTATTACAAATGTATACCAAACTAATACCAAACTCAAAAGAAAACACATATCAAGTCATTTGTTTTTCAATCTGTAGTGTTTGGTCTGACTCAGACTCTATTATAATATTGTGTCTGTAATAAGTGGATTGTGTTTATTGTTACATGTTTATTTGAATATTTGTATGTTTTTTAACTTGTTTGCTTTTTAATGAATTACAGTCAAATATGCTCTACATGATGTCTTAGTAATGATACTGATGTCATAATTGAGTTGAAACATTTTAATTTTCTGCAAGTGTAATAATCTACAAGATCCCATTACAGTAGAATAGGTTTTGCAAAGCCACAACTTTTTTATTTAGATCTCTAGCTGGTTCTAATGTCTTGGAGTGTAGTTGAGAGTCTATTTTGTAATTATAATTACTAGATTATAATCTTGCATGTCATCTCCAGGTACTCCCACTGAGGAGTCTTGGCCAGGAATCAACACCAATGACAACTTCCTTTCACACAACTTCCCCCATTATGATGGGGAACCTCTGATCACTCATGCACCCAGGTGTGTGTATCTGTTGTTTTCTGTTCGTGTTTGATAATCCTTTCTGTTTGGCAACTGTTGTGATTATTGTATATTTATGTGGATGTGTAAATGAGCTTTATTGTTAAGTCCTAGATAACATGTGACTTTAGTAAGGATAAATTCCTAGCACCCTCAGCTGGACAAGGTGATACTGAGGAACAGTTAAGATCCATGTGCAGATTAGATTATTCAATTGGTAATCTTTCACGGTCCTTGTACTTTTGACCTGTTTCATATCCTATCTGAAATGGAATAATGAGAAATGGAAATATGTTTTTGTTTAGTTTAACAAACGGACAATGAGATTTCTGCTCTAATTTATTCAGGTTTGTGACACAAACACCTATGGATCTCATTAAAAGACGAGTGGGAAATGTTATGGGCATGTCATCAGGGTAATGTTTATTGTTGACTTTTACGTTCAATCCTTATTTCCCATACAGTAGGCTAATAGAGTAAAACTTTTTGCTTTTATTTAAAGAGATGGAGCTTTCGTCGTTGCATTTATCAATGGGACATGAAACACAGGGACATGACCTGCTACAAAAAGTGATTTCTCAAGTTTCGTACATCAAAGGCAAAGCTTTGCAGAAGCATATTTGTTTTAAATGCCACACGTGGTTAACAGCAAGTGGTGGTTTGCATCGCGACAATCGCTTATTAAAGTGGGACTTGGCAGTGTCGTAACGACTCCTGTACTATCTGACAGAATTAAGGCTGGACCAACAAGATAAAAAGGGTGTTTCAGTGTGCGACATGTGCGAATGAAATATCAAAGCCATAAACCGATTTGTAAACCACAAATGAGAAATCGAGCCGAAATCTCATTTTCCATTCATAAACTAAACCAAAAATGAAAACACACGCCATCTTTCCATTTCTCATTATTCCATTTCCGAAAGGATATCATATGGGTAAAAAGTACACGGACCTTTTACACACAGAAAAAGTTTGACTAGAGAAACAAGTGAATAGCAAAGGGAAAAAGGAAAATGAGAAAAGGAATGACACCAAATTACTCTATTTTACTATTAGTAGTTTTTTTTTTTTTTTTTTGCTGTAATGAAAGTACAATGCAAGTGATTCAATCATAAATGTTAAATCAGTTGAGAAGTCAGGTGATATTACTACTAAAATTTGTTAACATTGAGACTGGAAAGCTACAGCTATAATATGTTTTGTGCAATTTTGTTCTACAGGATCACCAATGACGGTCATGTTCTACTATGCCAGTTATTACAGGTAAAGTATGCATTTGAAATGCCTGAGACGTCAAAAAGTTTTTGATTGATATCTACTTTAATGATTTACATTTTAGTGTGTTTATTTTTATGAAAGATGCTCGAGTACTTAATAAATTGAGCCATCTGTCCATATTAAATTCTTACAGTCAGTCAAGACTAATAAAGGAAATTCAGGATTATTATCTGTGCTGTCATTAATACAAAGTTCATCTGAGTACGTTCAGTTTAATGTTTTGTTTTGGTTTAGATTTGTGTTCCCAGTTCCTGTGTTTATTTCCCGTCTTCCTTAGTTGACCTAGTTTATAGTAGTTTGTTACCATAGTAATCTATTGTGTCCACCTGCCCCTTGTTAACTCACTCATTTAGTCTCTGTTTATATACTCCGTTTAGTTTGTTGTCAGTTCTTACGTCAATTTCAATTCATTGTTCTGTTCTTGTGTCTTTATCTCTCTCCTGAGTAGGATTGATTTGAATTCATGTGAGTTATTGTTAAACTGCTGTTTCACTGCTGCAAATAGATCCTGCTCAAACTCATCCTTGTCAGACCCTAAATATGGATCTAGCAGCAGTTTTTCTTGGACTAGAAATAGGGCTTTAACGGTCGCCGTGACAACTGCGTCACCGCGGTGGTCGCTTGCCACAGCGGTTGTCTACTGCCACCGGTGGTAGTGCACGTGACGTCACACACTCTATAACAAGCATAATACAACGTTTTGTATATAAGTGTAATAACACTGCCACGTCGCAACAGGTTGAGTCTGTCTAGTGTCTACACAGGAAATTTGAACTCTGTGTCAGTACCTCATAAATAGAACGAGGCAGTTTACTGTCGGGGATTTTTCATGTCGTGCCGCATCCAGTGTAGCGTCACTGATTATAACGAGTTTTATAGTATTTTGTTGCGCCGCGTCCTGTAGACAGAGTGTATTTAACTTTCTTATTTAGGCTACTTTCTTGTTTAACTGTATTATTTCTTTGATATTTATTTTAGTGTTGTTTTGCAGGCTGCGTATTCACTGACTGAAGTGCTAAAATAAACACGAGCTGACGAGTTAAATCGGGTGTGTTAGATGAGTGAGACAGTGCTGGGCTCCAGGACAGTTTTGAAAACCATTTCAGAGACATGTTCTTAAATGTGACTCGTATAAAAATATATTACATGCATGCACAGTTTTAAGGCAACTTTAATCGCTTTTGGTAACTTCATGACTTAACTGACCACGGCATTGCATGCACGTAGTTTATTTCGCGCTTTGGTATGAAAGGATACAGGCTACAGCGCTGGCGCCTTTGTGCGTGCAATTGAAGAGCACGCGCTTCGAGCACAGGACCGTTTCCGTCTGAAACGTCTCCCGTTCTCAGTCATTCTGCGACTGAATAAATGCACTTCTTGTCAAGAGAAAAAGTGACAGAAGCAGCAGTTGTGAGTGGGGTGGCCAACCCCAATATATATAATATTAATATTATATTTATATATATATCAACACCGCGCCACCGGCGGTAGTTGGTCCTTTACCACCGCGGTGGTAAAAATCTGCCACCGTCACAGCCGTAACTAAAAACTATCCTGTGTTCCATTATTCAAGATGGCCGGGAAATTGAGGAGTATTTGGAATATTGCCGCCAGACCTTGTGGGATGACTTTTACTCTGTTGGACTGTTTTTGGAGAGAGCTGGATGGGAACATTGGCAAACGGATGCCATCAGAAGATTCCAGCAGGTCCCTGGCTAAGTATCTGGACATTGTGCTTTGGCTGTGTGGTTCACAATTTACCATCGGTGAGGTGGAGGACAACATCACAGCACAGCTATAGCCCACTCCCACCATCTTGACATCCTCTACCCAGATTCAGAGCCATTACCTACCACAGACCCAGAACCAGAGCCCACCACAGACACTGAGCCAGAGCCTATGCCTGCCATGGACCCTGTGGTAGAGCCATTTTCTGCCCCGAAGCACGAGGCTTTTGCAAAGTCTGAACTGTGTGAGCAGGTCCCCATGACCATCCCAGAATACATTTTGGTGGAATTGGACTGCCTGGAGTGGCTGATTGACTTGAGTGACACAGAGCCAGTTCCTGTCCTTGTTTCTACCCTTGATCAACCTCCTTCCTTGCTGATCCACTCCAGCTGTTTCTATACTCCATTTAAATACTCTATTTAGATACTCTTTTTAGGTTCCACCCAGCCCTAAATCTCCTGCTCCACTGGTTTCACACAGCCCTGAATCACCTGTCAGCCAGTTCCAAGTCTCCTTCAGCAACATTGTTCTCGTCCAGCCTCCTTCTCTCTCCTACTATTTAAATTAAAGGCAGTTTTTCAGCCCTGTCTCCACTGGCTCCCCTCAGCCAGTTTGCCAGCTCCGCCTAGGTGTGTCAATCCCCTGGCTTCACCTCGAGCCTCTGAGCCCTAGACTCCCCTAGATGCCCTGTCGACCCATTGGATCCCTTTGTATCCACAATGGCCCATCATCCCTCAAGCTACACCAGGCTCCCTTGTTTCTCCACCCCTTTGGCTCCCCCCGGCTCTGCCACAGTCTGCCGAGTGCCAGCACCACATGATTACAATGGTCTGTCTCATTCTGGGAGTATTTGAGGATATCATTAATGTAAACTTGATGAAATGTTGTAGGTACTCCCAGAACACCTCATTAATGAAACTCTGGAATACAGAGAGAGCATTGGCCAGGCCATATGACATGACCCGATATTTGTAGTAGCTAGTGGGTGTGTGAGAATTGTTTCTGGAACATAGGAGTAGAAAACTTGGTAGGTGGAGGCCACAGTGGTGGAGGTGGATCGGGAGCGTGGTGGCACAGAAGTTCGATTAGAGGTGGAGCTTGCAGCAGAGATGAAGCTATGCTGCCGTGTTCTGGATCATCTGCTGAGTCTTAGTTGTACTGGTTGGAAGGCCTACCAGTAAAGCATTGCAGTAGTCCAATCTTGACACTACAAGAGATTGGACAAGTAGCTGTGCTGCGTATTCTGACAGGAAGAGTCTGATTTTCCAAATGTTGTACGAGCGTGTACCTACACTGCCTGTGATGTAGGACTGAAGCCACCAAAGTACCGTACCTGTGATCCCCAGAAAGAGTGGACAGGAGGATATGTCAAAGGCTGCAGGTCATGCAGAATAAGAACATATGATTTGGAGTGTTCAGTCAGCTCTCTGATTTTCTGTCATGGAACTTTGGAGATCTCATTCTCTGAAAAAGGACAGAAAGAAGAGAAGTGTTGGAGAGAATTTTGACTGTCAGGATCTGATTCGTAATTGGATGAGTGAACCCCCCTGGGTGCTGGTTAGAGCACAATAATATATAAGGATGAGGAGACAGGTGATCAGGTTTAGATGATGTATTGATAGGAGGTAAGCCACAGAGATACAGGTATTTCACAGGTGGGTATTAATTACAGGCAGTAGAGGCATTAGTCTGGAACACAAGAAATACAATAAAGGTTAATCAATAACTAGGCATATACAACAATAAACATCCATTGGTACATAAAGGCAGCCAAAGCAAACTAAATCCTCATCGGTAACATTTTTCCATGAAATATACAATCCAAGAAAAGAAAATAAGGTATCACATTGTACACTATAAGCCATTAGCGATCATCTAACATGATAAACATCCCTCCATATATGGATAGAATCGAGGCACATCAAAGTTATCGCTCGTTTGGCATAAACAGCTTGAAATATCTAAATCACATCACAGAGGTATCATTGAAAATCAAAACAATGATATACATCTCAATAAAGAAGAAATAATTTGTATATGCAACAGCCTCACAAAAACAACGTCTGTGGGAATGTGTAGACATGTGCGTGTGACGCTGTTATAAATAACTCCATACCGATCTCGATAAACACAATAATAAAGAAAACAGACTAACACCTCAAGGTAACTTCTGCAGCAAATATGACCGGAATGAATGACCTTTCAGTGATCGGCAGAATACAGAGTTCAGCAGGCATCAGTGGCTTAACTCACGAGACTGCTCAGCCAGAAGGTGACGTACAGTGTCAGAATAAAAGCCCTCTCTTAAAGGAGCCTTTACAACAAGAAGAGTTGAATGTGTGTGGGTGGAGGATGTAAAGAACTGGTTGCTGGTGGTGGCCAGCTTATCAGTGAAGAAGCTGGCAAAGTCATCAGCATTCGGAGAAGAAGTGGGAGGAGGTGGACAAAGAGAGGAGAAAGTTGTGAATAATTTCAGGGTGTCTAAGGCGTTGCTGATTTTGTTTATCTTCGCAGCAGAATCATTAGAGAAGAAAGAACAGGAGAGAATGGTATTTGCTCAAGTCCGCAGGGTTTTCTCCTCTTAGCAGCTCTGAGCTTAGTTTGAGAGCAGAGATGAGGGATGGGACACAGAGGCCACAGGGGAAAAGTTCTGCTATACTGCCAGACAGTGTCTAGGATTGTTGTAGTCCAGGGGTTTTTCAAACCTGTCCTGGAGGACCCTCAGGACTGCATATTTTGTATGTCTCACTTGTCAGGCACACCCAGTTCAGGTCTTGCAGTCTCTACTAATGAGCTGGTGAGTTGAATCTGGTGTGTTAGTTGAGGGAGACATAAAAAATGTGCAGGGCTGGAGGGCCTCCAGGACAGGTTTGAAAACTGTTGTAGTCTTTGTTGTATTTGTCTTCCACTGTTTTGACTATCTCTGGTGGTGAAACAGAATGCTGGTTACTGGTCTTCTGTCATTCATAGAACCAAGGTTACACCAGTAACCAGCGTTTTGTTGTGTTCAAAAACATTTTGATGTCATCCTCTTAAGGTTCTGTCAGAAAGATTACCATTATTTTTAGTGTGAAAATATTACAGAACAGTAGGTTTAAACTGAAAAGGGTTTTCACAGTGATACAACAGATGTAGTTGGCAATGCAGCAAAGTGGTATAGAACTCAGCTTTATGCAAATGAGGGTCCAGGCAGTGATCTCTTACTTGATAACACTGGATACAGCATTGCACACTAAACAGAATGAAATCTATCAAATAATGTTACCAAGTGCGGTATCTTCTTAATTAAATCATTATTCATGGCAAAGCACATACCACAAAAAAAAAAACTAAGTAGTGTTGTATTTAGCTTGTAGTTACCTACTGCTCAACACTGCTTAGATTGCTTAGATGTATGTTGTTTTTTTTTTGTTTGTTTTTTTAGTGTGAAGCACGGCAGCGTATTTGTGCAGAAGTGGCTCTCCGGCACATTTATTTCAGAGACCTGGGAGAAAAAGTGCAGGACCTGGCTGACAGTAAGTATTTCATACTAGTAATTTTATAGTGTTTTAATATATTACATTTACATTTAGTCGTTTAGCAGACGCTTTTATCCAAAGCGACTTACAAATGAGGACAATAAAAGCAGTCAAAACTAACAAAAGAGCAACAATATATAAGTGCAAATGACAAGTCTCGGTTAGTCTAACGCAGTACACGTAGCAAGGTGTATATATATATATATTATACACACATACAGTGGGGCAAAAAAGTATTTAGTCAGCCACCAATTGTGCACGTTCTCCCACTTAAAAAGATGAGAGAGGCCTGTAATTTTCATCATATGTATACCTCAACTATGAGAGACAAAATGAGAAAAGAAAATCCAGAAAATCACATTGTAGGATTTTTAAAGAATTAATTGGTAAATTCCTCGGTAAAATAAGTATTTGGTCACCTACAAACAAGCAAGATTTCTGGCTCTCACAGACCTGTAACTTCTTCTTTAAGAGGCTCCTCTGTCCTCCACTCCTTACCTGTATTAATGGCATCTGTTTGAACTTGTTATCAGTATAAAAGACACCTGTCCAAAACCTCAAACAGTCACACTCCAAACTCCACCATGGCCAAGACCAAAATTGTAGACCTCCACCAGGCTGGGAAGACTGAATCTGCAATAGGTAAGCAGCTTAGTGTGAAGAAATCAACTGTGGGAGCAATTATTAGAAAATGGAAGACATACAAGACCACTGATAATCTCCCTCGATCTGGGGCTCCACGCAAGATCTCACCCCGTGGGGTCAAAATGATCACAAGAACTGTGAGCAAAAATCCCACAACCACACGGGGGGACCTAGTGAATGACCTGCAGAGAGCTGGGACCAAAGTAACAAAGGCTACCATCAGTAACACACTGCACCGCCAGGGACTCAAATCCTGCAGTGCCAGACGTGACCCCCTGCTTAAGCCAGTACATGTCCAGGCCCATCTGAAGTTTGCTAGAGAGCATTTGGATGATCCAGAAGAGGATTGGGAGAATGTCATATGGTCAGATGAAACCAAAATAGAACTATTTGGTAAAAACTCAACTTGTCGTGTTTGGAGGAGAAAGAATGCGGAGTTGCATCCAAAGAACACCATACCTACTGTGAAGCATGGGGGTGGAAACATCATGCTTTGGGGCTGTTTTTCTGCAAAGGGACCAGGACGACTGATCCATGTAAACGAAAGAATGAATGGGGCCATATATCGTGAGATTTTGAGTGAAAACCTCCTTCCATCAGCAAGGGCATTGAAGATGAAACGTGGCTGGGTCTTTCAGCATGACAATGATCCCAAACACACCACCCGGGCAACGAAGGAGTGGCTTCGTAAGAAGCATTTCAAGGCCCTGGAGTGGCCTAGCCAGTCTCCAGATCTCAACCCCATAGAAAATCTTTGGAGGGAGTTGAAAATCCATGTTGCCCAGCGACAGCCCCAAAACATTACTGCTCTAGAGGAGATCTGCATGGAGGAATGGGCCAAAATACCAGCAACAGTGTGTGAAAACCTTGTGAAGACTCACAGAAAACGTTTGACCTCTGTCATTGCCAACAAAGGGTATATAACAAAGTATTGAGATGAAATTTTGTTATTGACCAAATACTTATTTTCCACCATAATTTGCAAATAAATTATTTAAAAATCCTACAATGTGATTTTCTGGATTTTTTTCTCATTTTGTCTCTCATAGTTGAGGTATACCTATGATGAAAATTACAGGCCTCTCTCATCTTTTTAAGTGGGAGAACTTGCACAATTGGTAGCTGACTAAATACTTTTTTGCCCCACTGTAAAAACATTTAGACTTTGGAATGTGCAGCGCTCATATTTATTCAACGAAAACAGCTTTTTGAAATTTAATCGTCACATTAAGCGATATCATGATTCCTGTCTTTCCTTCCTCAAATTAAAGACCTCTTGAAATTATAATGAAGACTTGGCTTATACCATTTAAGACTTTTTAAAGACCCGTGGGAACCTTGTTTTTAAGATTTTGGTAACCCGGTGGGAAGATACAAGGGTGATATGGATTAGTATCTGTAAATATAAAGCCACAAAAAGACTATTTAAATATAAACCCTGCATGCTCTGCGTGTTTCTGTGTGAATGCATGGCGCAGACACACGGTTTTGCTGAAGCTTGACGCTCGTGGTGATTTCAGCATCTGTCGTCTCACTAAATGAGGACAGAGATACATGAACAACATCTCCAGAACTGCTCTGAGAGTCACTTCATGAGCGTTTTATCGTTTCATTTGAGTAAAAATAGCGTCATATACACAGAAATGTAAAGGTATTTACGGCAACCCGTCAAAATAAACTTCAAGGCTTGTTCAAGTGTTTTTGCAATGAAAGGTTGAAGGGAAACCGGTCTGTAGTTCTCTAAAAGAGATGGGTTAAGGGTGGGCTTCTTAAGTAGTGGGGTTATACAAGCCTGTCTAAATGTTGAGGAAAAAACACCAGTGTGAAGGGATGGGTTAACGATGTGAGTGAGTGCAGGTACAACGGCAGGAGAAATTGCTTGAAGGGGGAGGGGTGGGAATGGCTTGAAGGAGATGAGACGGAATAGGATGATTGGATAGGATGAGTTTAGAGACTTCTGCCTCAGAGAGTGGAAAGAAGGATGAAAGCGAGTGTATGTTTGCTGGTAAGATGTATTTGACAGTTTGTGGTGTGGCAAATTGTGCACAGAGGTTTGTAATTTTATTAATGAAGATTTTGGCAAAGTCGTCAGCTGTTAAGAGTTGATGAAGGAGGGGGAGGAGGAGGAGAAAGGAGGGAGGAAAATGTTTTAAAGAGCATGCGAGAGTTAGGCGAATTGTTAATTTTGTTGTGATAGTATGTCCTTTTAGCAGTGGAGACATTAGCAGAGAATGAAGAGAGGAGTGATCGATATACATTAAGGTCAGTAGGATTTTGTGATTTGCGCCATACTTACAACGGCAGGAGAAATGGCTTGAAGGAGATGAGATGGAATAGGATCAAGCGGACAAGTAGTAGGATGATTGGGAAGGATGAGTTTAGAAACTTCTGCCTCAGAGAGTGGAGAGAAGGAGGAAAATGAGTGTATGTTTGCTGGTAAGATGTATTTGACAGTTTGTGGTGTGGCAAATTGTGCACAGAGGTTTGTAATTTTATTAATGAAGATTTTGGCAAAGTCGTCAGCTGTTAAGAGTTGATGAAGGAGGGGGAGGAGGAGGAGAAAGGAGGGAGGAAAATGTTTTAAAGAGCATGCGAGAGTTAGGCGAATTGTTAATTTTGTTGTGATAGTATGTCCTTTTAGCAGTGGAGACATTAGCAGAGAATGAAGAGAGGAGTGATCGATATACATTAAGGTCAGTAGGATTTTGTGATTTGCGCCATACTCTTTCTGCAGCTCTGAGCTTAGAACGATACTCACGGAGAACATCAGATAGCCAAGGGGCAGAAGAGGTGGAACGAGCTGGCCTGGAAGACAAGGGGCAGACAATGTCTAAACAAGACGTAAGAGCGGAGCAGAAAGTATCAGCAGCACTGTTAACATCAAGAAATGATAACTGTTCAGGGGAAGGAAGCAAAGATGAAACCATAGCAGATAGCCGGGAGGGTGAGAGTGAGCATAGGTTACGTCGAAAAGTGACATGTGTAGGGGTATGTGTTGTGTCAGGAACCATGTTGAGGTTAAGAGTGAGGAGGAAGTGATCCGAGGTGTGCAGTGGAGTAACGAGCACATGATCAGTGAAGCAGTGTCGTGTGTAAATAAGGTCAGGTTGGTTGCCTGATTTGTGAGTAACCGTAGTTAATACTCGCTTGAGATCAAAAGAAGCAAGCAGAGTGTGGAAGTCTGCAGCCTGAGGTTTATCTAGGTGGATGTTGAAGTCTCCAAGCATAACTAGGGGAGTACCATCCTCAGGAAAGTTTGAGAGCAGCACATTTAATTCTTCCACGAAGTTACCTAGTGGTCCTGGTTGTCGATAAACAACTAAAAAATGGATTTTAAGAGGGTGGGTAATAGTGGCTGAATGTGATTCAAAGGAGCTGTTGATACTCAGAGATGGTAAAGGATTACATTTCCAATCATTAGAGATAAGCAGACCAGTACCTCCACCTCTTCCAGTCAGACGGGGGGAGTGGGAAAAAGAGAAATTATTGGAGAGTGCTGCAGGTGTAGCATTGTCCTCTGGTTTGATCCAGGTCTCTGTCAGGGCCATGAGGTTTAGTCTTGAATGACTTGTAATAGAAGTAATAAAATCTGCTTTGTTTACAGCAGACTGCCAATTCCAGAGACCAATAGAAAAAGAAAATAGTGTATTAATAGACATAGCTATTGCGCTGCCTACAGTGTGTGATGCATGGTTTGCGCGTGGTAGTGATAGTAGGGATCTGGAAACACATAGTAAGAATTGGTTATAAAAACTGAAAACAGAAGGGGAACAAATAGTAGGAAAGAGAACAATTCAGAAGCGATACTTATGTCCCTGCTCGGTGGAGTCGATGGTCTTTACACTCTTCGGTCTTCACACGAGGGCTGCCGCGGTATACTAAGCTTTTTATATTCGTCTAACAAAACTCAAATTCAGCTGGACACACTTTCCTGTTTATCACAACAAATGGCCAAGCAAAGCACACAACACTGACAAGGTACGCGATACAGTACGAGACCAAACGTGATTTCAGCACGTCTACACACAGATATATATATAGTATATATATATAATATAGTAGTCTTATATTATAGTCTTATAAGCTAATTGTTGTAAGATGTGATGCTGTGTACATACATTTGCATGGACATTCTTGAACAGAACAATTTCTACAGATTTATAAAGTCATACATTCACAGCTGAAATGTCATGTCTGTATTAATTAAATGTTAAATTCTGTCACTCCAGCTACCTCCATCTTTTCTGTCAAGGAGATTCGACTTCAGATGGACCCAGGAAAACACTTTCCAGCTCAAAGAGAGTTGGGTGAGTTCGAACATTTACCTGGATGTTGAGTTCCTTGTACATGTTGGGAAAAAAAAGAAGCAAGACTGTAACCGTATTTTATCTCTCCTCCAAAAAATCAGATGAGAAAGTAATTGACACTACAGAAGTAAAACAAAAGAAAAAATATTGCATTACAGTATTACAAAATATGACATCAAATAGTGTGTAAATCATTCCGTTTATTAAAATAGCGCACTAGCAGTGATTTATTGTTTACTGAGGATCTGTTGATTAATGTTTTGAAAAGAAGGTGATGATAAACAATA